CAGGTTATATATGTCACCAGACGTTTCGCAGTTTTGCCGAAAGGAGGAGATTGGCGCTGTTGCTAACCACCTGAAATACATAATCTACCAAAGGGTTGTCACAATCAGTAAAGCAGTATCAATATGTTAAATATTTAATAAAATTTTTTTTTTGTTATTTTCGTGATTGGTAAATCTTAGGTCGTGTATTTTCTAGCGTTTATTAATTTTCCAAATGGAAATTGCATTTTTGATTGTAATTTCTGAAAAAGTACTGTTACAGTTTTTGTGAAAAAAGTGCTCATATTTAATTTATTGACATGAAATTTTTTTTATTATTTTAACTCAAAAAAAGTTTTAGCTGGTGTATATCTTGCCAATAATCAATTATCCATAAAGGAAAAAGCATTTTACCATCTTGTTTTCAAGAAAAGGCTGTTGAAAATTTTCCAAAATTTTAGTATCAATGTAGATGGCGCTGCCTCACTTGGACGTGGCCTTAAGACGCAAATATACCATGAATGACGCGATTTTTGAGCAAGCCGTCTAAGCATAACAGCAACTAACTATCCTTGCCCCATCCTCCCCTATTGTTTGATGTGTGTGTTTTTAAAATAAATGTAATATAAATTTTGCATGCATCATGAAAATTGTAAAAAAATATACCGATTAAAAATAGTTTCCGCTTTTATATAATATCCTAAAAATGTCGTGTCAATCTTAAAATTTTCTTTACAATTTTCCAGAAAAAAAAAAATGTATAGTATGTATATATATATCCAGTATAATATCCCTTTGTTGTGAGGATTGAAAGGATTTCCTTCTTTCACTTCCCTTATAATATGTCTAATATTCTTAGGTCACGTCACTGAGGCTTTTTCACATGCGTTTAATATATTGCATGGTTTATAATATAGAAGCGCACGTGGATTTATTAAGACTTAGTTAAATAGTTATTTTATCCATGAATAAGCTTGTCATACAACACGTGCATTATATTTGAAAATGTCTCTTCGCAATCTCATATATATATATATAATTATGTTTATAACGTCAAAGTATATGGTTTCAGTACTTGACAATTTTCGTCCGGAAATTATATATTTAATAATAAAATTAATATTATATAATTTTATTTTAAATATCTAATTTTTAAAAGAAAATTCTATTAAAAATTTTCTTTATATACATTTAAAACGAATATATGGGTGATTTTACAGAAATTGGTTATTTTCGAAGGAGTAGAATTTTTTTTTTTAAGTATTTGGAAATTCGATTTCTTTCCAGCATCAAATAAAGTGATCGCGTTTTAAAATTATTTTAAAGTCAGTGGGAAGATAACTTTCAGCCCTTTCAACTGTTAAAATAAAACGGGAAACTAACCTTTCGAAAACCTATAGGTTAATTTTTTTTTTACCTTATTGTTTATATATGGGCAAATCCATGAAAGTTTTAACTTTCAAGAAAAAAAAATTTCTTTTTTTAATTTGCAAGCACATTGATGTCACTTTGTATACACGTTTAAGTACATTTTAGTACTACAAATTGATATGCGTGATTCATTTTTAGCTCACGCCGTCAATGTTTAACTCTTTAAATTCTTTAATGTTAATAAATTTGAGGGGCTATTCACTGAGATCCAAGAGATCCAGTGACAATTATAGATGACAAGAAATCAAAAGAGACGGCCTGAGATCCCAAAAGACGACCAGTGATCATAAGAGACGACGAAAAATCGCAACTAACGTCAAGTTAAATCGCAAAATCCTCCCAGAGAAAACAAACGAATGCATTCATTGTTTTTTTAAATAAATGTTCGAATTTTATTTATTAAATTTAATTTTTCACTGTAATTTAAATGTAATCTTGATTTTATTTCAATTGATTATTTATTTAGTTTATTGTTTATTATATTAAATTCACTTTAAAGTATCAACTATAAAATGAGTTATTTAATTACCATGTTAAATACTTACTTTTTTTACTAATATAAATTAACTCGAAATTAATATAATTATAGTTAATGTGGAAATTTTAAACTATTGGTATATTTTTTACTTTATCAATAAATTATGTTAATTAAACTATTTATTTAAAATTTTAAATGATAACATAATAAAACTGAAAAATTATTTGTTTATTATAATTATTAATTATTATAATATAATACAGAGATAAATAATAATAAATGTTAAAAAAAAACTTAGGAATCGTATGTCTCTTAAGGCCATGTGGGAAATAGACGTTTTTTTGTGGATTCCAACTTTCTCTGAAATAAATAATGATTTCGGGTTAAAATATTCAAGACTTGATAAAGGAGAGTGCAAAGCATAGGGCTGTTCTCCTCATTTACGTAAAAATAATAAAAATAAAGCAATAAATAGTAAAATAATGTATTATATCATAGTTCATTCAGCGGCCACTCGCTCAAATTGGCGCTGTTTACTGGAGCACTAACACACTCAAGCAACGTCTGTGTATGCGCCGCCATCTTTTTTGTCATTGTCGTTTAAAAATGTCACTTTTTAAAATTAGTTTTTAAATAATTTAACGCAAAATTAAGTTTTTTCAGGAGAACAGCGCGGTGCATTGTACCCAAATCTATCAACCCTCAAAATTTTAGCCTAAAATCTTTTTTCATTTTAGAGAAAGTTGGAATATTGCAAAACACAATTTCCCATACTAGGTCACGTGGGTTTCTCCCACATGCCGTTAAATCATTTTGTGCCATTTTTTAAATTTTTAATTAAAAAATATTTCATGTAAATAACCTCGGAAGTAACCTTAAAAAATAAAGAATTTAATGTTAATTAAATTTAATTTAAATAACCAACTTGCAATTAACTTTGTGTTTCCCTAAAAAAATTTTAATAATATAAATATTTAACTTTTTTAAAAGTTAATATAATTGTGTTTATATTTATAATTATAAATAATAAAATATTAAACTCTTACACATATGTAAACAATAAATGACATTTGTAAATTATACGTATTGAAGGAAGTCGAGAAGCCAATAGTCGAATTAACAAAACAATGCGATCAATGCGAGATCCAAGAGACGGCCTGGGACGACCAAAAATGACAATTGACAAAAAAAAAGGAGTACGTTGTTCCTGGATCTTTTGGATCTCAGTGAATAGCCCCTCGAATAAATTACATATAAAATTGGAAAATTCAACTTTTTTTATTTTTGATATCGGAGTGGTTTCCAAAGTATTTTCGTCCTCTCAACACGATTCTGGCATATAAATTTGCTTAGTACGTCAGGATTTTGAGAAAAGAGGGGATAAAGACTCCAAAAAAGTGTTTTCAGCATATTCTTAACTTAATAAAATTTGTTTCACTCAAAATTTTTAAGCGGCGTTTTTGTGTTCAAATATATGTATGAAAATGTTTCGATCACACCATAGATTGACTTGTTTAAAGCAAAAATGCAGTTGTGCCTTTCAAAAATGTAAAAAATTTAAATGAAATCACGATTTTTATTATCATCTTTAAATTGTTGCCACAGGAATACAATTAGAGGCACATCATTGAAAAAGGTCTTAAAATTTTTGTTTTTTCATCACTTTTTAAGAAATTCATTGAACTTTTATTTTTATCCAACGCCGTAATTATTTTCATAAGAAGACGTTCAATTGAATTATTTTAAAAAGTGCTATCACGCAATCAAACCTTCGTATTTTTAGTTTTAGTGGTGGCACACTAATGGGATAGTGAAAATTTTTTGACAAAATATGTCTGTTAGATATTTCCATAGTATGTAGCTGAAGTGATATTTTACACGCCGCAAAAATAAAAACGTTAAGAATATAAACTTTTTCAAGAAATTCAAATGAAATTTAAGCATTTTTTCACTTTTTAACTTATAAAACTAATTGTCAAATAAATATTTTGTTCTAATACTGTACATAAATGTTCCTTTGTATATAATTCAGCAAAAAAAAATGATACCCAAAGTTTTAATTAAAAATAATTCAAATTTTTAAGTGTTCGTTTCGAGAATCACAAAAGTTAAAAGTTTCGTGGATTTGCCCATATATACCCACATAGCACGACTTCTTGCTGTGAGGTTACTGTAAGGATATCTGTAGGGTTTGTAAGGTTACCGTGTAAGCCTACAGTAAACTTGAGGTCATCTTAAAACTTCCGCCATTACAGTAAGCTTACACAGTAAAGCTAGCGGTAAGCTTACACAGTAAGGTCGTGGTAAGTTAACATGGTAAGGTTGTGGTAAGCTTACACGGTAAGGTTGTTGTAAGTTTGCCGTAAGGTTACTGTAAGGTTACTGTAAGATTGCTGTAAGGTTGCTGTAAGGTTACTGTAAACATAGAATGTTATTAATAAATAAATTTTATTAATATTTATGCGCAGTAGTTTTCTATGGCACATACGGCTGCGCAGTAAATTTTATTTAACAAACCCTATTGGGGTTCATGAAGTACTTAATCAATTATATAATTTTTTATAAAAAAAAAAATTTATAATATAAAATATATATTATAATATAATTATTTTTAATATATTTTCATATTACTCTATGTTTACAGTAACCTTACAGCAACTTTACAGTAACCTTACGGTAAGCTTACAACAAACTTACTGTGTAAGCTTACCACAACCTTACCATGTAAACTTACCACGACCTTACCATGTAAACTTACCACGACCTCACTGTGTAAGCTTATTGTAATGGCGGAAGTTTTAAGATGATTTTTTTTAAAGTTTACTGTAGGCTTACACGGTAACCTTTCAAACCCTACATATATCCTTACAGTAAGCTCACAGCAAGAAGTCGTGCTATGTGGGTAATAGTTATAAGAGACTTTTCAAAGAATTCATATTATTCATACTTTTTGATGTTATATCACTTAAGGAATTTTGCCAATATATATGTTATATACTTTTATAAATTAAAAAAACATATTTCAATATTTAAAAATAAATATAATAAAAGTTTTTATAAATTTTGAGCAAAATTTTAAATAAAAATTTATTATAAAAAAATTTATACTCACTTGAAAAGTGTGAGCGGCACTTTTAATATTGCACTCGACGAACTTTAAGTCAGCTAGGTCGATTTCGTCAAAAACGGCAGCCTGAAACGAAAACAAAAAATACATGTGTGAAATATAAATTGTAGATAGTAATTTTTTATGAATGAAAGTTATTTTGGAAAGAAAAACTGAAGTTGAGAAATTGAGATTAGGACAGTAATTTTGTATTCTCTGAATTATTTCCAAAAGTAGAGCAAATAGACAGGAAACCAAATGTCAATTACTGAATAACTGATGTTGTCGACCCCCTTTTAGATCGAGAGCTATTTGCAATCAACTATTATATATATATATATATATATATTGGAAGCTGTAGATAATTCCATTATTGGAATAACTTGCAAGTCAAATTTAAAATATCCGAATCCGTATTAAAATTATATATTCGCTTAAATGGTTAATCAATCTATTTATAAATATGAGGTTAATTATATTGTGGTAATTGCTTTATTATATTATCAATTTTTTATTTTTACTACAAAAAAATAAATCTATAAATATAAAAAAAATAATCAATATATATATATATATATTTTATATATAATTATTTATTGTGCGCTATACTATATAATTTTAAAATATGTATTTTAAAAATATATATTTAATATGTATATTTAAAAGATGTAATTAAAAATGTTCCTATTAATAATATTAGATGATATAATTAATTTTTTTAAATAAATTTTTAAATTTTGTTTTATTTGTATTATATTATTATTATATAATAACTACTACTTTTTTATATATTTTTTTTTATTATTTTATAATTTAAATTACATAGATAATACAATATAATTGTTATTATATAATAAAAATTTAGGTATAAAAAATTAATATAGAAAAAAATAAAAATTATAATGAAAGGATTAAAAATTTAATTTTTAAAATTATTATTTATTTAAACATTTATATATTATATATATTATATATTATTTTATATATATGTGCCATTCCAGGAGTTTTTTAGCACTTTTCGGAGTAACCTTTCCAAATTAAATGAAACATTTTTTTATTAATATTTATTAATATAAAGGTCCAAAAAAATCACTTTTTAAGTAAAAACAATTGTTTATTTAAAAAATACAACAATAAATAATGCAAAAAATTCACTTTTTTCCTGCACGGAAAAAACAAACTAACTATTTTAGCACCAAACTGCTTTATCCTTTATTAGTATGCAATTTCGTTTACCTATTAAAGTATGAAATAATGCTTTTTTAGTTTAAAGTAAGTCCACACTAAATAAGTATAATGGTTATACTCTTTTAGTAATAGTGACGTACTTTAAAAGCATAAAGTTGATGCCCGCGAAGTACGACATATAGTCTACCTAAAATAGCAAGAGCTTCTTCCTTTTTGGTGTATAAATTCTTGCAACCTGCGTTTTGGCCTATATCGATATATCAATGGTTGGAAGGAGAAGGAGGCGTGGCCAAAACGCAGGTTGCAAGAATTTATAAACCAAAAAGGAAGAAGCTCTTGCTATTTTAGGTAGACTATATGTCGTACTTCGCGGGCATCAACATTATGCTTTTAAAGTACGTCACTATTACTAAAAGAGTATAACCATTATACTTATTTAGTATGGACTTACTTTAAACTAAAAAAGCATTATTACATACTTTAATAGGTAAACGATATTGCATACTAATAAAGGATAAAGCAGTTTGGTGCTAAAATAGTTAGTTTGTTTTTTCCGTGTGCAACTCCAAATAAATTGGTTTAAAGATCAAAATTTTCCTTATCTTTCAAGCTTTAATACCGCACAAGAAACATTGAGTCCGAGAAAATATTCAACTCACAATTTTTTAAACAATGTTTGTTTACTTTTTTGTATTTTATTTACTGTGAAACGTCTGCTAAAGCTGCGCGCGACGTTTGGAAGTTGTCGCTTTCCTTATTGAGCAGAAGCTCATTACACTAGCGTAGTAGAAAGCATGTTGTGTGAAAAGTGAGGTTTTTCATCCTTCAAAAATGCTTTTTATGATTTTTTACTGCAAAGTAGATAATTAAAAACCATTCAATGTGATAACCAGAAATTTTTACGTTTCGTTTAATGACAACATAACCTCACTTTTCGCACAACATGCTTTCTACTACGCTAGTGTAATGAGCTTCTGCTCAATAAGGAAAGCGACAACTTCCAAACGTCGCGCGCAGCTTTAGCAGACGTTTCACAGTAAATAAAATACAAAAAAGTAAACAAACATTGTTTAAAAAATTGTGAGTTGAATATTTTCTCGGACTCAATGTTTCTTGTGCGGTATTAAAGCTTGAAAGATAAGGAAAATTTTGATCTTTAAACCAATTTATTTGGAGTTGCAGGAAAAAAGTGAATTTTTTGCATTATTTATTGTTGTATTTTTTAAATAAACAATTGTTTTTACTTAAAAAGTGATTTTTTTGGACCTTTATATTAATAAATATTAATAAAAAAATGTTTCATTTAATTTTGAAAGGTTACTCCGAAAAGTGCTAAAAAACTCCTGGAATGGCACATATATATTTTTTTTAACAATATAGAAAATAACACTTTTCCATGTATAACGAATGTTAGGATTGCATAGTCGAAAAAAGAATTTGAATTCGTTTTTCAAAATGAATAGAAAATTCTACAATATGTATATGTAGGTCCTTATATAGAAAAACCTTTGAAAGGTATATAATAGGCTTTTGTAAAAAGCTTTTCTGCAATAACTAAAATTACACGTACAAAATTGAATTGTTGGAAAATGTCTTCTTTTGAACCTTTTCGTTTTTACTAATAAATGTAAATATGCATATATGTACATTTTTTAAAAGTATTTCACTAAAGTAATAAAGCTTTATAGCTGAAAATAAGCCATATAAGAAAAATGTATTTGAAAATATACATTTTCTATACGTCAATATAATTTTTTTTTTATTTTGCGTATATATTATTTAGAATATTAAATTAACAGGATTGGCACAGATCTGGAAAACCGGGATAAGTCAGGGAAAAGCGATAAAAAAAACCCGGAGCATATTTTTTTTGCTAAAAATTTTAACATATTTTTTCGGAAATAACAAACAAGAATGCAATTTTCATTTGGATAATTAATAAACTCTAAAAAATACACCAGCTAAGATTCACCAATCACGAAAATAACAAGGAAAACTTTTTTTTAACATACACATCAACACTATTTTACTGATTTTGATAGCCATTTGGTAGGTAATATATATGTCATAAGATAATGGTCATTTGGTTTAACACTAATTGAAAATTATTTCTGCGAATTCATTTCTCACGTTCTTAATAGCTCACTGTTTTTCTGAGGGTATCAATATGGTGTGCAACGTTTTGATGCCCGCATAATTGATATCAAATTAATACCAGTTATGTGGATCATTTTGAAAAATGATGTATAAAACGGTCTCATTTTTTGATACTCACAATAAAAGGTATCAATGTATGTTTAACATGGCTGACGGGTACTTTTAAACGTATGACGTCACCAATGCTAAATCTTTACTGCTTGCAAGAGTTTTAAGTTTAATAGATAAAAAATGATCTATTTCTTTCTTGGCAGTAATTTTAATAATAACCTGTATGAGAAAAATGTGTTTTAGTTTTAAAAACATTATTATTCAATATTACCATAAAAATGAACTTGCCTTTAATTATATGTTGTGAAAGTCATGAATGTACTGTGATAGTGAAACGTGCTTTAACTATAATGTTTTATTTACGCTTTTAAATTATTTTATACAAATTATTTGTTTTTATTTCTTACGTGATTTTCAATAAACATTGTATGTGAAAAGCCAACACTGTTATCGTCTAAATAATTCATTAAATTACGAGTAAGTACCCGTCGGCCATGTTAAACATACATTGATACCTTTTGTGAGTATCAAAAAATGAGACCGTTTTATACATCATTTTTCAAAATGATGAACATAACTGTGGTATCAATTTGATATCAATTATGGGCATCAAAACGTTGCATGGATTGAACCAATTTATGGTTTCATTTTGATACCCTCCAGAAAACAGTGAGGCCTTTTGTAAAATCTAGCAAAAGTAGTGAAGGATCTAGTTTAACCTGCAGCTTCATTAATTTTGTTTATGTCTAAACCTAGTGAATTGACTCTTGAAGTTGAGGCATTCTGAGTTTTTTGACGTTTAAATTCTTCCTCGATCCCTACATCTGACATCACAATCTTTAACCATCTGCTTATTGTTTGAGGTTCAATTTTCTTAAAGGGTTTCCTAAATGAAATGAAGAGATTATTTGATCTGTTTGGGATTTCTTTAATCCTTCTTAGCTATACTCTTGCAGAGTTTTGGCGACGCAGATTTTTGGTTTTTCCGTAAAAAATGGAAAACACTTGAGGCTGCGATCTTCCAGGTCGAGACGTGTTTATGGGATCTATAATTCTAATTATTACACCTTCTGTACACAGAAAATTAAAAGGCATTAAAATAAGCTGCAATGCTTATTATTTTAATCCAATTTTGCTTATTTCAATCCATTTTGGTATTAAAAGAAGCAAAATTGGATTAAAATAATAATCGTTGCAGCTTATTTTAATGCCTTTTAATTTTCTGTGTAGTAAATTCAACGTTTTTCGTTTTAATAAGAGATAGACTTTGTACTCGGAAAGCCGATACCAAGGCTAAAAGCATTACTGATTTCAATGATTCAATGTTTCCACGAGACTCCATTCCTCCAATTTTTGGAGCACAATATTGACGTTTCAAGTTGACTCATATCTAGGGGTCGGAGGACTAAACTAAACTACTAAACCTTCTTGATCATTGATTAAAGAAATAGCCGACCTCAGAGTGTTAAGAGTACAGAGTTGTACTTTTTTGCAGAGCTTTCAGTGAGAGAAGCGGTCATTACTTCAATGGTATCCTCCTGAAGATCCTTTTTGTGCCACACCTGCCAGAGACAATTCCGGAAACTCGAGGGATTAATAGAAATCATTTCAGAAACCAAGAGACGTTTAAATTCTAGGAACCAGAATTGTACTGGCCAATGCGAAACGACTAAAATACCACCAGATTCTTC